AAAACACTGAATTTCTATGGAGACCAGTGCTCCAGTGTGAGCTACGCAAACAAGACCCAGGCAAGCAAAACACTCTGATCACAAACTATTCCCAATGGGCTTTCATACTACCTTGGATAAGTCTCGCTCAGCATTCCATATGCCCAAATGCTTTTGCATTGCAACTTCCAGTCCTCAGCGCACGATATACTAACAACTCACAGCCTGGCATACGCAAACAACACAAAGCTATTTCTCCCCCACTCCCCATGCGCACCCACTACGGGACCAAGACCAGTAGGAGCACTCTAGATAAGCGAAGGCAGAAAGTGGATAGAATGCTGTTCGGGGTCGAATTGTTGGTGGCGGCTTTCTGTGTGTTCTTACTGACGACCGCAGGGGCCCCCGTTGGCTGTTGCCAGCTAATTGTCCTCCCCACACCACCTCAGACTGTTTCCTCGGAATTCTGGGCCGCTACCGTAGGCTTTCAAGAGAGAGCTGCCAGGATAAAGTACCTGTGTCTTTAGGGTGTATGAGAGGGTGCTGCAGTACTATATCCAGTCCTAGGGCACAGCTTGTTTGCTATGACGATTGTTGTACACAGCAGAAGCATTGAGATGAAAAATTTTCGAAAGGGTCTTTTGAAGCTTCTCCAATCTTACCTGCTACACAGTAACCTGTGTTTCGGCAACTGCATTTGATGCTGCCACTTCAGGAAGAAGGCGATGTACTGCTGGGAGACTGGGGAATATCCTTTGACGACGGAAAAAACGACCACATTAAACAACACTTTCATGTAAGCTTTGATCCCATAGAGACTTTGTGGTTCTATGACGGCAGCTGCACCAGTATCGAAACATCATCACTATTGCTGCTGCGTGCGGTCTCTGGCTTCTTCGGAAAAACAGGCCACTCGGTGTTTCCGACCTTCGAGAGACTTTCAGCTGTCTCCCTTTATCCCTAAAATCGCACTTCTTGTGACGGACTTCGCTTTCCACATCCTGAGATTGGGATTCCCTCGACCTGTCTATTCCTCTCCTACGTGAGGTACACGACGTCGGCATTTCCTTAGCAGTTGAGGATGAAAGGCGCGGGCGGCCTACTGCGCATATGGTGTTCTCTTTGTATTTGTCATATAATCCTAGACTAAAACGTAGGAGTATACACTTAATGCTGTTTGTTAACGTAAATATAAAGGCGAAACAACATTTATGTTAGGTACGTCCTTGCAGGCCGCCAGCAAGCTACTCGTGCGGCCTTTGGAGCCCTTCACGGCCAGGCGTTTTGTTTCTTGGAAGAATAGATGGTAACCTGGAGGTTTGGGATATCAGAGATCAGCTGCAGAAGCCTACTACTACCAGTGCAGTTTCTGCAACTCAGCTGACTTCTCTGGCCTTTCCTCAGTTGAAACAAGAAAAGCAGCAGAAGCAGCATCAGCATCCTGCCGGCTACTCTCGCAGCAAATCGAGAAAGCTCACAAGACAGCCTCAGGTAGCAGACGCAATGGCGATAAGTAGTGAACCCAGCCCTGCCCTGGCCTACCTCGCAGTAGGTGATGCAACGGGTGCTCTGAGGGTCCTTAAGCTCTTCCCAAGCCTGACAAACCCCGTGAGATACATTGTTGGAGTAAACAAAACAGAATTCACAGAACGACGTTCTCGTAGCATCTAGATTTTCTAAAACTTAATGTAGGCGAAAACGGAAAAACTTGAAAACAAATTTGGTGTTGCACTGCTCCATTGCCGCAGAATCCAGATGAGCTGAGCCACATTTCTGCAATGCTTTTAAAGGACGACGGGCGAGTGGAGTATTTGAACGAGAGGGAAGCTGTTCTTAAAAAGGTATTGAGAATTTACACACGAGTATCCTGTACACTCCAACCATAAGGGCTGCTGCCTTTCAGAATAGCGTAACGGAGATACAATTGGTGCACATCTGTACGCTTAGACGCTTATTATATTAGTCTCTCACTGCTGTTTATCGTCATTTAAGACGGAAATGCAGCAGCAAGATATTGAGCTGCTATCTAAACCCCAGCAGCACAAACCGCAGTAGCTCTACAAGACGCCCGCACTTAGGCGGATTCTCGAGAGAGCAATGCAACTCATGCCCTGCTAGAGTTGTGATAATGTCTTTCTGATCTTTAGGCAGCAGAAGAGAAAAACAAACGGCAGGCAATTGAAAGAGAATCAGAAGAAATCGAAGTTCCTCCCGAAGAGGACAAGGAAAGCAATGAACTCCAAGCAATTGAAGCTGAGTATAAAGCGATGGAGGCAGCTTTCCTTAAGGTGCGCGCTACGCTGATCAAATATCCTGCACTTCAGCTTCGTCAGCCTCTATCCGCACAGTTTCATAAGAGAAAATATGTATTAGTTTTTAATGCAGTCTGAAAGACTCGGGGTTCGATTCCCGCAACCAGTTCATATTTTAATAAGTTAGAGGCCAACACATAATAATAACGTTGTGCTGGTTAAGAGCATGATGCGATATTTTTACTGAATAAACAACACCAATTAGTGTTTCTGTGTGTGGATAGTATGTCCCCTAAGAAGTTTCTCCTTGACTACTGGTGCGTTGTTGATTCCTCCCTTAGGAGCTGCAGCAGCGTGCGACGGAAGAGAACGCAACACAGCCGTCGGCTTCTGCTGATGAGAAAGAGAAGAAGACGAGTCTAGCGAGATGAAATTGACGAGCACACTCCAATATGTACTCAGTATTTTAAAATGCGGACTCTGGATCAGGCGCTTCCTCTAGATCCTGGTCGCCTCTACGAATTTTTGTCGAACTCTAGAGAGGAGGAGACGTGGTCAACGGGATGGGTGCAGTAACCAAATACTTTATTAGCTAGGCCACTACATGCACGGAGAGTCTTAGAGAATGCTTGTGAAAACAATAATGCTCCATTTCTACACGCTGGACACTGGCTGCAGGTCAGCCTAAACATTCCAGTTGTGGTATTTGTATTGGCAACCCCATGCACTCCTTTTAGCGAGTTTGATCCATCATCAATATTTCTTGTATGAAATCAGACGAGCTCTATTGCTGTAGCGTCATAGTGGCAGCGAACACACAGCCTCAAGCAGCCAAAATGCAAAACGCTTTGCACGTTTAAGTTTTCAATAAAAAGAAGAGATCAGAAAAAAGCAATATGGCTGCTACATAAATGAGGAAACATCTTCCTCGTCTGTGGTCCAACGGCTACGAAACTAAGCGCTAAATGGCTCGCAAAACGGCAAATTCTGCAGCCATACCCCACACAGATCATGCAGTAAAAACCAAAAAGTAATAAAAGTAAAGTAAATTCCAATATGTACAGAATATAGGCGGAAAATATTCCGATGCAACGCTGCTTGCAGAGAATGACCACCGGTGCTATGCCGGATGAGCTTTTTGCAAGAGCGGCTTTCACGCACTCCCCTGCATTTCACCCAACAAAACTCATTCAGTGGGAGGGAAGAAAGAGAATAC